TGGGATTTAAGAAAAAAATAATATATCAAATCTTAATAAATTATTTTTGGTTTTTATTATGCTACTAAATCAATTAAACAAAAAATGATATGTTGCATTTAATTTTATATCTAAAAATAATAAAATAAATAAGCTTATTTCGAAAAAAAATTAAATTTCTATCATAATATCTAGTTTAATTTCAACAAAATTCAAACTTCTATAGCAATTTTTAACCATCCAAGACCTTTTCTATTCTTTAATAATATTCTATAGTTCTTATTTCCTTTCCTAGAAGCTTTAGTAGAACCTAGATGCCATAATATAAATAAATAAATAAGATAAGAGATATTTTGGTATTGCTAATATAAATTCTAGAAAAAATTGAGTATAAATTTGTTTCTATTATTGTATTTGATATTATCTCTGATCTAGTATTTTATTTATTTAGTTTTGTACTACTTGATTATTTAATTCCTTATATTTGTTTCTTTAAGATTTCTATAGTAAAAAGAAAAAATAGTATTTTTAATACAATATTTAAAACAATTCAAATATTTTTAGTCTTTTATTTGGTATTGGTTTTAATCTAATAATTTATTCTTCTTGTACTTCTTTATTTTTTGGTTTCTTGTCTTTGCATCATTGATATTTTGTAATAAATCTTGATTTCTTTAATAAATTAAAAATTAATAAAATTAAAAATTTCTAAATATAATTTATTATATCTAAAAATATGGTTTTAAATTTAAAATTTATAATTTTATCTATTTTAAATTTTTGAATACAAAAATTAAATTAAAAAAATTGATTCCTTTTAATTTTGTAGTATAAAATCAAAATCTCTTTGACGACTATACATTGATTCTAAAAATACAAATTTTATAATTTTATTTTTTAAAAATAAAATTTGTCACGTACACCTTCTTGCTCTAACATGGGCATCAATGTGCAAACAAAGTCATATTATTAATATTTTAACTTTTAATAATAATGAATATTTTACAAACATACAACAACTTAATTAAAATATCATATCTTATATTGTATTTATAATAGTATTGCCAAATTATACAAGCATTGTGAAGCCAATATTAATTTGTCAAGTTTCTGTGTTGTTGTTTTTTTTTTTTTTTTTTTTTTTTTTTGCCAATTATTGTAGGTGAGATAAATTATTTACCTAGTTTTTGTACAATTTATTTTTATTCATAAACATGGAGAGGGAGGTTCAATGCAACACAAGTATAGTCAATCAGATTTTGTACATTCCAACACATTTGAACAATCTAAATAAAATAAATAAATCAAACAAGCTCCATGCAGTATACAAAACCCACCAATTTAATGATTGTAAATAGTTTGAAATCCCAGAATTTTACAACAAAAGAACAATAAGCATTTTGTATTTTAAACAAGCTAGTAGTATTCAAGAATTGTGTTGCAAAAGTCAACTTCATGTCGAAAGAGAGGGACCTTTTTATAGTGGACTTCAAGAGTTTGAACAATTCATGGGATAACTCTGCATCATCACAACCTTGATAACAGTGTCTTATTTCACTTAATTCACACAACAAGCTACAATGAGCCTGCAGCCAAACATCAAAGATTTTTCCCTAAGCATAATATAATATGGAAGGACTAAAGTTCTCTAAAGTATACAGTGTTAAGACAAACCTTGTGAGGCTTGCCTCAGAAAAGCCATGTGAAGCACTGAACCACTTATGTTAGTGACGTTGATGTGAAAGAATATTTGTGGTGTCTCTCACTTTACTGCTTCCTTTGGGAAGTTTTCTTTAGTTTAATTTTGAATATTGGAAAATATATTTATGTAAGTATGTAGTCACGAAATTATTGTGGATCTCACCCATATTCATTCAGAGTATTCATAAATTTTAAAGGTTTTTTTTTTTTTTTTTTTTTTTTTTTTAAAATTATGACTTCGTTAGATATCTACAACTCTTGTAAAATACTTAATTTGATCTGAGTGATTTCCAAAATATTTCTTTATAGAAAGGAAGAGACCATGTTTCATGTGTTTTGGACCCAAACTAAAAAAGAGGGTGGATAGTTTTCAGACATCTCTTCTCTTGATTTGGACCAAATTCCAAACAATGTTAGTGTATTTTAGTGTATGCCAAAAACTTGGTGCCCTTTCATCACATACAAATGGGTATTTTAATGGATGGACAGAAGGCATAAGGTGTGGAACCCATGTAATAATTTAAATCATGCACTTGGATTCCAAGTCAACATTCCACAACAAACAAACAAACAAGTGAACAGACTAAAAAAAATTAAAACAAAAAGAAAAAATTAAAATGCTGATTGACTCGTTTTAGTTGCTGTGTCCAAAAATGATTCCCCGAAGCCATGATTTCTTCATTAAAGATGATATCCTTGCAAAGAAAATAAGTAAACAAGTGCACTATTTATGTTGCACTTATGTATTGTCTTTTTCCTGTCATTTGCTGTAAAAAGATTCATCCTCACCACACACAAATGCACCCAAATGCACACACATTTTTGATGTTATTGAAAAAGGTAACGTTGAATAATGCATTGGTTGTGCACTTTACAATCGAATTACTATGAGAGAGAAGTAGAAACATTCAAAGTGCGGAATGGTGGGATCGAATTAGGGCTAGGGCTAGGGTTTCAGGCTCTTGCTGTTAGCTTTATTCGGAGATGGAGTGAGAGTGTCAGGAACAACAGGAGAATCAGAAGAACCCACACTACCCTCTGTGCCAGCTCTGACACAATTACCTCTTCTTCTTCTTCATCTTCCTTCCACAATTCATCCCCGCTCTTAGTTACAGAAAACATTTCTCGGCATCGCACCAATGAGACAATTACTTATCCATTATTGTGGTTTTTTTTTTCCAAGCTTTTGCAGAGGAATACCATGCTGACATGCCACTTCACTTCCCGCTGCCGCTGCTGCCTCAGCACTCGTGAGCACGATAGTGACTGTAGAATCCACCGTCGCACGGCGGAATGAAAAGCAGCATCGAGGGCCTGTGAGGAGGTCGGTAGTGGACTTGAGGGCGAAGTCAATACGGTGAACCATCTGAAGCCAGGCACCACACGGTATGAGGACTGGCTGCTCGTACATGCTCAATTGTGGAAATTACCGTGTTTTTTTTTTTTTTTTTTTTTTTTTTTTGTGAAATGACGTCACGCTAACTGGTGCGGGAGGCAGGCCTACAGATCAGACAAAACAGTACTATTTTGTCTTAGTAGGTGCTTTGTTTTTAACCACCCTTATTGTTTTTTATTACTTGTGAACTAAGATTTTGCGGAGTAAGGATCCTCAAGGAGCCAATCCTCTTCAGCCCATTTGTGTGAAAAAGTAATATAATGGAAAAGGAGTCTCCAGAGTAATTTCCACGGGAATTGAAGTTACACATGCTGCATCAATCAAGCTGTATATTCAAAGTTCTCGTTGAAGGTGCGGGCTCCAACTTGGTTTATTGATACTTCTTAGAAGTGATTCTAAAACTAAATGTTGATATTGTTGCAAAAGCTCTGTGATTTGTTTAGATAACGCACACATTAAGAAGTGTTACCTCAGAAATCCTATTAGTAGTGATGAACTACCTGCCATTTCTTTCTTCTCAACATCACCCCAGAATATGCCCATACCCTGCAATATTGGGTACTTGGAAGCTAAGCTTGGGAGAGAATATGCTTAAAAGGATGACTGGCGAGAATTAGTACCCACAGCCAGCCAGCCACCCAACCAACCAACCAAATGGGAGAATCTATACAACTGCCAGATCGAGGCCGGCCTCTTTTGGACTGAGATGAACTGAACTGTTGCTTGTTTTGTTTTTTTTGTTTTTGTTTCCGCAGTCATTGGGAAGCTGGTTGTAGTTGAGAACAATAATCATTCAAACCTTCTCATGCCAGCAGAGTTTAGGTTGTTAATCCATGACGCTACAAGGAATCTTCTCTGAAATTTGTCGGTGGAGGAGAAGTAAAGAAGCCGATTTATCAAGGACACATCTATCATCCCAGGGGGTCCGGATCCCATCTCTTCTTACGATGCGTCAATCCTGTTCCAACTGATGTCAGCCCCGTGTGTCACGTAGCATATCACCCGAGCGTGTGCAACTGCAGTGAAGAATTGGATTCTTTTCCGTCTTCACTGAATCAAGGTATTACTTTTATTTATTTATTTATTTATATTTTTACTTATCATCTTCGCACAATCATCGCTCCTAATAGAATCTGCAATTCATTATGTTGTCAAGAAAATCACGTCATTTTCGAGCACCATCCAAGACGCTTCCTCTCAAAATTCTAAGAGTACAAAATCCGCGTTATTCAGGATGTATACAACAACCGAAAAGCCACAGTTCTCAGAAAGTTAGACACTTTCATGTTTAATGGTAGACGTCCTTCACAAGTATAATATTCTTCCTGCATGCAATTGTACACCGGATCTCCATTGTCTTCACTGCATGGTAGTTTTTTTTAATGACACGGTAAAGAAAAACCTAACCAGAGCATCATCTCGCTGACACCTCGAATGGTCCAGGACAAGCCCTTCGCCCCCGCAGAGCCAGATGGCTGTGAGACAAAATGATGCAGCCAGCTTCGGGTGGGGGCTGCAATCGCAAAGCAAGATTTAGTGTGATTTTAGTATAATCGGGGGATGAGACTGGTGTGTCGGTGGCAAAGTAAGTGATGAATCGTGTGGACTCTGTTTGGACTCTGGCAAGCTGGGGGGATGCGCCTGCACAAAGCCAGCTCACATTTATATTCTAAAACATGTCGACTGCGAGACGACACACTCGCGAGCATTTTTCACAATTTTAATGATGCCGAGCTGGTGTCATTGAAGTGTGTGAGTGCGATGAAGTGTTGTCATAAGGTAATTAGATTTTCCTACGTAGGTCTGTGCACGATGGTTACACTGAGTCAATGATGTGGTCTTAGCGGCGGTGATTGTTGTTAGCCCAGGATTTCAGACGATTACTAATGAAAGTGGTCGGAAGGAATACGCCGCGGAAAAGGAGGAGGGAATATAGAGAGGTAGACTTTGCACTAAATCAGAGATGTACGGCCCACGTCGCGAGAAATGGGACCTGGCGGAGGTTTCGTTTTGGCTTTTCGTAGCCGCTGTTGCAGTGAACTTATATAGTAGAACTGGGACACCTCATTTCCATGGATGCACTTAAGCTGACCTGAACATAGTAGTACTAAAAGCTCCTTTCGCCGTGTCTGGGGTTCTGAGAAATCTGTTACTGCCAGCGTCATAGTTCTTGAAATTGCTGGCTCTAGGATACTGTGTGAGCGGAGACAAAGTAGACCCTCGAGCGTGCGCGAGAGGGAGAGGGAGAGAGAGACAGAGTGAGCACGATATCAGTTGAGCGAGGAGTTTGAAAGAGAGAATATTCGTAAGGAAGTTAAGTCATCAGATCTGGCTAGGTAGGTAATGAGGAGAGATTTGGGAGAAAGGAAGTAAGTGGTGTAGTGACAATCGTCCCGCTGGGTGCTCAGGGTAAATGCGAGGACTTGCGACGGCAATGTTGGGATGCAAAAACATTTTCGAGTGTTTTTAGGTAGGCGAAGCCACTAGACTTGAGCGTGCATCCCACGAGTGGCACTACCTGGATAGGGATGGCGAGCACTGTGAGTGGTTATGGTGGTCCCAATGTCATGCTTGTGCGTAACGAGAGCTCGACAGACACCTTAGTTGCCATGCTTGCCTCTTGTTCTTCAGTTCAGCTTCAAGGTTCGTCTACTAGACACTCCTCCACCAGGATTCGTGGAGATTACGGCCGTCTAAGGGAACTATGAGGAATCTGAACACAGCGTTGCCTAGTCCGGCTCAGGAAATCACAAACTCATTAGATTCTTCACTTCGCCAGTGGCGTATGCACTAGTTGCAGATTGAAAGTCTGAGGATGGAAGCTTGTTGACTTTGTCAATTTTAATGGAAGCGCATGTGTGAAGTTTGAAAAACAAATTAAAGAACTATTTCGCTACACTGAGGATACTAAAACCGACTGGCGATTTTGCCGAGCCATACGATTGCATAACAGACAACATTTGCTCTATTCTTCACAATACGATTAGTATACAACTTCTCTACTCCTGACGTGCGTTTCCTTGTCTAACACCTTCTGTGTGCACGCATTGTGCAGTTCAACTCGCAGGTGGAGGCTTGGAGGATGCTGTGGCCAGTTGTAGTCAAAAGCGCCCCTACTATTCCTCCTTTGAAGCCTCTGGTGAAGATCCAGGAGATGAGGAAATTGAAGACTGCACACAACAAGTGGAGAAGAAGAGAAGACTCACCTTCGATCAGGTCAGGTCACTAGAGAAAAACTTTGAGATTGAGAATAAACTCGAGCCGGAGAGGAAATTGCAACTTGCACAAGAGCTTGGACTCCAGCCTCGGCAGGTGGCCGTGTGGTTCCAAAATCGTCGTGCGCGCTGGAAAACCAAGCAGCTGGAGCGGGATTATGAAGTTCTCTCCTTAGATTACAACCAGCTCAAGAATAAGTTTGATGATGTGGTTCAGGAGAAGCAACAGCTCCAGGAGGAGGTGAGGCTTCAATGTTGTCATAACTCTAATTTCACTCCCCGGCGAATCCTACGGTCGCCGTGGTCCAAAACTATTTGCTTCAGATTCTATTACTATCCCTCATAGCCACGATGTCAACCACCTACGTAGAATTCAGGAAGTGGAAGGCACACACATTGCATGAAGTGGCTCTGTTTTTGGGAGATGTGCATCATTGTGTAAAAATTTATTGCTCCTGATCATGTGCTTTACACCAATTTAATCCTCTGATAGCAGCGACTGGAAGTAATTTTAATTTTCTTTCTCTTTCTATTTTTTTTCGCAGATGGACTGTCTTAGGGGAAAGTTGCCGACGCCACAACCAAGTTCGGTCTTGGGTGCAAAGGAACAATCCAAGAAACTGAAAACAGCATCTCAGCCTTCCCCGCCGAAGATGTCCGAGGCCTCCGTTAAGTTGGAACAGATATGTACTGAGCATACTGCTAGCTACGATGCTCTGGTGCCTTTTCTAGAGGGAGATTCGAGTTTCGAAAGCTCTGACAGCATGTCCAGCGAAATAGTTAACGCAGACAGTCCTCGCACGTCGGACAGTATCTCTCTTGTGCCTTTGAACGAGTTCACAACGTATCCACACATTCCTACAGACTCTATGGTGGACTCCAGCATCATACATATGAGTGATAGCATCTGCGATCAAATGCTCTCCCCCATAGATTGCCACCGCATTTCTGTGAAGCTTGAGGATGGTTCATTCCAAGACGAATCGTGCAATTACATGTTGTCGCAGCTCGATGAAGAAAGAGGTCTGCCGTGGTGGGATTGGCCTTGATGTTGACCGCTGATGCAAGCTTACTGGAGTTCATATAACCAATTTAGTTTCTCCATTTTCTGAGTACCATCAACAAACTGCAATTTACCAACAGAGGATGCGCAGGCGAACCGATCGCAAGAGAACCGAGTTTCTTACCTCTCACGTTTATTAGACTCGAGACAAATAGAATGGCCCTGCTGTTGCAAGTCATTTCGATGATGCTAGATTTAGCAGTCGGAAATGATGTAACATCAGACCAAATAATTTTCTGCCCAACACCCAGTCACACTTGAGGAATGAATAAATCAGGCTGACTCTGGCTGCAATAAGCGAACTCACAACTTGCCATTTGATGTACCAATTAAAGGTACACAGCAAGGTTTCAAGCTTGGCTAATGCCAACAATTGTACTCTCCAGATAAGCTCCCTTTTAGAGCCTCTAGACGTTTAGAACTGCAAATAATATACATATATATTTATATATATATATATACATATAATGTACAATTGTTTGTATATGCGTATCTATATGTGCGTATATGTGTGAACTTCCGTACTGGAGCTGCTACCACTTGCCATTAATAAAGTCATTTCCTCTTCTCACGCATTCTGCTAGCACATTTCTCTCGGCACAATAATTATCTCTATCATCGATTTCCTCCGTCACAGTGAATTCCACGCTCACTATTCAAATAAGATGTGCACAAGAACTACATTGGTATTTCTTGTTTCACCTTTCCCGACATCGTTATGAGATAGAAGATACTCTGCAGTTTATAACATACTCCCTCTAACTAGACGAGAGCTATTTGTTACGAAGGGGGCTCGATGTTCCCACGTTAAGGAAATCAAGCCTTACCATGGTGAATTGCGATGAGATAGTGCTGGTCATAATCAGGTTTAGGCTTGTTCCATAGCGGTTTGAGACAGCATTCTTCTGTGACATTGTCCTGCTCCATCTGTCATTAGTGATCTGGATTTCTTGAGCTTCCAATAGGGACAACAGCATGTCGTGCGTTCTCGGTTCGGCATGTCGTCTGTCACTTTAGATTGCCACAGAAGTCCTGTATTAATCTATGCATCGGTATTTCTCTGACTGTCAAATCCGGAAAAAGAAAAGTGTAAATGAAAAAAGAACACTGCTATAGAAATACTTCATGAAAACCTGATTTAAGTGCTAGGAATATGTGGCCGAGCCGACCCCGCCATCGTGCGTCCAAAGCATCAACGAAACTTCCATAGATTCTATCCCATCGTACAAAATACATGCACCTTGGAATTGAACTATTTTTAGAGCTTCACACGTGGTGAATAATGCTTTACAGACAATCAAAGGTTTATTTCCAACATTTACCATCACTGTCGATTATAAGACGTTCTTAATGGGCTTGTGCGGTAGAATTTCGGGGCCTTCTGCGTTTAAAAACGAGTAGTCTCTGGAATGTGACCGAGTCCTCTTCGCATACTTGGTGGTCACCTGATTTCATTTTTTCATCAAGTGAAAAAACGAAGCGATTTTTTATCCTGTTTTAAGTATTCTGCTGTAATTATGTGCTTCTCGTGTGCATAGAACGTCTATTCCACATATCAAAGTCTCGAACAAACTTCTGACCAGCATATTCTGTAATGTCCAATTTGGAAATAATCCTGTCATAAATAGCGATTGGTGTAATTGAAGTCCTCGCAATGAAACCTTCTTAGCGCAAATTGTGTTATTGCTTCTTGAACTGGTTCGAATCTTCCAAAATGCATGAATCATGTGAGATAAACATCATCGTGATTCTTCGAAATCGTGTAGAAATGGCACAAAGAAGCCGCCAGAAACCTAATTACAGTGTAGTACGGTGATGCTATGTCGCCTGAAATGGTGACGACTTCTGCAAACTTTTATATTTCTTCCCCATAAGCTGAGTAAACTACTAATTCCGACCTCTATTGAACTCAAAGTTTCCTGGTAAACTTTAATGAATGTCATTCTTCCACGATTGTTTGCAACCTTCTAAGTTGAAAGACTCGTCTGATTACTTTATACTCTGACAAGTCTAACCTTGATGCTGAATGCAGAATGAGGAGTTGGTGGTTATGGTTTTGATCATAGTTTTTTTTGGAAAGCATGTCTTCTTCCTAACTTCACAATCAATCGTGTGTGTCTTGAGCGGACAAGATAATTCTCGTGCTTTTAGAAGCAAAAATTTCCGAGGCTGGCGTGTTCATCAGGTGACGACACTGCGTACAGCAGCCTCAAAGTGTGCAACATGGGGACACCGAATGAAAGGTAGGCTGTCTGACATTGTAAGACCTGTAGTGCTGGTACCGAGAAAGGATACTTAAAGGGAAGGTTCTTTCACTACTGCAGATATGTCTCTTAGGGACCACACGTCTTTTTCCATCGCCACACATGGAAGCATTACAGCCGGTGTATGCGTATGTAAGAACATCATATGCCAGTTTTCTTTGTTCTCTCGTGCAAAACTGATAAGTATCAATGCCTGCATGTCTGAAGTTGTGCTTCTTGTTGCAGAGGCTTAACAGTCGAGAATTATCAACCACATTTTTTATTTCATCCACTGCGCTGTCATCGAGTGAGAAATAAGTACAACATCTCGAACAGAATTCCAAGTCCATTCAAAGTTTTCACGCACCACACTTCTGGATTGTTAACTGATGTGCTCTCTATACGAATAGGGGTGGCAGTGTTTTTAATGGAACCGGTTTTTTTGTGAGAAATCATATAATCGTGTAATGTTTTGTTTTGAAGTTCGCTAAGGACTATGAAGCTCAAGACTGAGCAACATGAGGAGGAGCAAATAATTGTGCTTAGCTTCCTAAATTCTGCTGATCACTGCCAGGGAGGTGTGTCGTAACTTACCAAATTCTGTTGTACGCATGAGTAGTTCCATTCTATTAGAAAGGTGCGGACGAACGCCACTAAAATGTCAATCACATCCATATTTGTGTAGTTTTCTCAAAGGTCGAGGATGAGAAATTGAATCATTGCGTCATGTTTTTTTTGGAGTTTGCTTGACATTGGAAAACTCAAGATTAAGCAACGTATTGAAGAGAAAAAAAATGGATATAATATCCTAAATTATGTTCATAATTATGGATAAAGTGTCAAGTATATCACCAATTTTTATTTGTTGTATGTAATACATATTTTAAAATTAAAATTAAATTTTTTAATTTTAATAAAAATATATTATTTTTTATGTGTTTGATTAATATCATTAATTACAAATTTGTGTTTTGATTTAATGCACGATTTTTAAATATTAGGTGAGGCCAACATTTTATTTAGTTTGTCTATATTAACTTATCATTTAAGCATGCTCTTAAGTCATTTCTTGTTGTTAATTATTTTTGGAAAAAAATAAGTTATTTATTGATAATATGGTTATAAAAGATGATTTTATAAAAATAAAATATACAAATGAGATTTTATTTATTTATTTTATATATGGAATAAAAAATTAAGTATTTGATTTTTTGAAGAAGTAATATTAAAAAAATTCATCTTTTCTAAAAGTGGTATTTTTGAATTAGTTAGGGCTACAATTTTTGAACTTAGCTTAGACAAAATAATATTCAAGCAACTTGTGACTTGCAATATTTTCTAAAATTCAATGCATATTAAATTAATTTTTATTGGAGATATTATAAATGATAAAAATAATACAAAAGATTTAAAAGAAATAAAGTAATTTAGCAATAGCATCTCAAATCATAAATAGTTAGATTTTTGCATAATATAAATATTATTTTGGTGTTAAAACTTATTCTTTAGCTACTCTAATATATAAGTACATATTTCTTATAAATAATATTTTATTAACTTTAAATATTTATAAAACTTACCTTAATATTGAAAGCACAAGAAGATTTAATATTACTACCTATCAATGACAAGTTTTAAAATTTAATGACCTTAAAGATATTTAATACAATTTTTTTTCTTTGTCTATAATGTTACATCAAAGATTGTATAGTGTCATAGATTTTCATACTAGAATCATATGCACTTACAATTACATGCTTATTTTAAATAATTAGAATTACATTCTTATAATAAGTTTATAAAATAATATAATTTGGTACAATAATATAAGTCTATATACTCTACAAATATTAATAATGGTTTTCAGTTATTTCTAAATCAATTTAAATTTATTTTTGAACCAATTTGGTTTCAATTATATTTAAATTAATTAAACAACTTAGAACCAATTTAAAAAATATAATTAGATTTGACTAGTTAATTTTCTTTTTGTCGGGTCTATATTCAAAGAGAAGCAACTATGTTCTTTAATCATGATTACTTAACAAGTACTTACATTCTATCTTTCATCTTTAATTATATTATGTTTACTATAGTATATATATACTTTTTAACCACTCTTAAGTGTCTAGCATCTTTTATTTCATTTTTTTTAATTGATTAGTGATATTTTTATATATATATATATATATATATATGTATATTTTTTTAATTTTTTAATTTTTATTTTGAACCTCTTTTTAAAGTTTAAGTAAAAAAAATCAATATAAATTTATAATATGTAGTGTATATAAAAAATAAAAATTATTTATGAATACTATTCATATATTAAAAAATAAAAAATATACCAGGATATGTAAAAATTGAAAAGAAATTATTATTACTAGAAGGGCTTCACAAAAATGTAAGCAAATATAAGTTTCTAGATCTAAAATTGCTTTTGTTAGGGTTTAAAAAAGCATTTTAGTGTTTGCACAATATGCTTCAAATAAAGACTCTTGATTTTAGATGTAAGCTTAAATTGAGGTGTTTTATGGTGACTTATAAAAAATAAAAAATTGAAATAAAGAGTAAAAGATACTAAGGACTAATATAAAATTTAGTCATAGAAAAGATAATAAAGGCTAGAAGTTACTTAAAAGTAAGAACTAAAGATGATAAGTATCCTTTTATTGGAACATATATTATAACTTTTTCAAATATTAGTTGGATGTTTGCACTATTTGTGTATATTAAGTATTACAAGTTAAAGATTAAACATCTGATTATTACATATTATATTAGTTTAAATGAAACTTTGTACAATAAAATACTTTTATTTTAGATTGCTAAAAAATGCAGTAATTTATATTGCAAAAGGATTGAGATGGTAAAAATAAAAATAAAAATAAAAAACATATAGAGTTTACCATAAAATAATATTACAGTAAAATCTTTAAACAGAAATGAATGAAATAGATCTTTTATTAATGGTTCAAAAATAAGTAGTTTTAGATACTTCATAGACAAGAAATAAGAAAAAAAAATCCCATATAATTCTTTCCATCATTTAAAGAAGAAGATTTTTTTTTTAAAGATATTGAAAAAGAAGTAGAATTTTTAAAATCCTTACATGATAATAGTAAAGAAGAAAAAAAATTTTTTAAAAAAAAAAAAAAAAATAAAGTTGCACAAAAATCATAAATCCTAAATCCTAAAGAATTATAAAAATGACCTAAATTTTAATAAAAGATGTGTTTAATGGAACTATGAAGAAAGTGTTATCAAAGATCAAGAAAATTATACAAGAAAAAAAAAGTTTTTATTTTGAATAATTTAAGTCTATTTACGAC